GGAACGGATTAAGTTCGTATCCCAAGGTACCACTGTATACCAAAATGAATGCTTAAATTCCTAGTTCTCATTGATTTAGAGATATGAGCAAGCACAAGCTTCGATGAAATTTCCAGAAATACAAAGTATGTCAAAATGCTCTTTATATGCTTTTTGTATCACAGAATTATAGAATGTTGGACCACTTATAGAAGGGTTCTTGTAGATCATATAGTCCAACCTCCTATTTAGTACAGGAATCCACTACCACAGACTCTCCCACAGACAGCCATCTAGCCTCCAGCAGACGAGAGTCTACCACCTGCCAAGGCAATCTGTTTCACTGTTAAAGAGCTTTTGCCATTAGGATGTTTAACCAAAGTTCCGCCTTAGGCATGGAAGCTGGCTGGGTGACTATGGGCCAGTCACTCTCTCTCAGCCCAATTCACCTCACGGGGTTGTTGTGGTGAGAATAGGAGGAGGAAGGAATATTAGGTATGTTCGCTGCCTTGAGTAATTTATAAAAATAATAAAGGTGGAATAAAAAATCAAAAAAGAAAATACTTTTCCTTTGTAATTTAAACCCACTGCTTCCTGTTCTGTCTTTGGAACAACCTGAACAAACCTACTCCATCTTCTGCATAACAACTTTTCAGATACTTGAACACAGCTATAAAGTCTCTCCGTTGTCTTCTCTCTCCAGAAAAGAAAGGCTGCAGGGCCTTATCCATATAATGGAGAATATACTGATATTATCCCATATATCAGTAATAATTATTTATCTGTGCAACTTACACTGCTCCAACAACTATGCATTTTGTCTGATAGGACAGATATGGGATATGGGTGAGCATTTTTCCAACCCAAGAAATGAAAAATGTACAGATTATTTTTGTGGAGCAGCAGGCATGATTATTGGCTCATAGATAGTACTATCTAGGGCTTCAGAGTCCTAGGCAAAATGGTGCTTGGGAGGGTGCAAGGACGCTCAAGGAGCACCTATCCGCAATTCCCTAAAGCCGCATCTTTTCTCAGGATCATGTGACAGTCCTCCTCAGATGCAGCACAATCCCAAGAAAAGATGAGGTTGGTTTAATAAGTTACAGATAGGTGCTTCCTGTATATCCCCAAATACTCCAGAGCCCCTTTTTGCCTTGAAATTCAAAGCAGCAAACAGCTCAAGGATTATCTCCTGACTCAACAGGGGCAATAAACCCAAGCTGGTTGCAGCACTTTTATAAGATGGAAAGTCTTCCTTCAAGCAGAATAGGGTTTTGTTTTGTTTTTTAAATCAAGTATGGAAGGAAGATGGGGAAATACAGTGTTCTAAGAAAAAGGCATTTCTGTTACAAAGTGCCAAAGGCACAAACTACTGTTCTGTTTTTGTAGGGCTACGTGAGTCCTCATGCCTATAAACACCTTCTTTAAAAAATGTAAAATATTACTGGAATGTATCATTATATGGAGATTATGTGTGCTATGTGGGCAGCATCTAAGAAACATCTATGTCCTTCACACTCAACCTAGGTACTCCTGCTTGTAGTGGCACTGCCTATGCTTCTAGGGTTTTAAAAATGTTTTCTAGGCTGGGAATGCTACAAAACCCTGAGTAAATTAGATTGTCCAGAATGTGATAGGCCCAAACAAACACAAAATGGTAAAGTTCCCACCACAGGACTACTCTTACAACCCTAAACCTTTGCCTGTCCTTCACCTGAAAAGTAACATCACAGAAAAAAATAGCATGGAGGGCATGCTGTTTCTTTCTTTCTTTCTCTCTCTCTCTCTTTTTAAATGGCTATTATGCTGTTTTGGGGAAGGGAAGGAAAAGAGGAGTATACGAACATCCCTGAAATGAAGACTAAAAGCATAGTGAGTGCTTCATTCATCTCTCAGAACAGCATCACTATGGACAGTAGAAAAGCTAGCTAAAGATAGTATCCAAAGCACGCTCTGAAAGGCAATGTGGAAATGCCAAGAACCATGCCCAGCATCTCTAGTTCACAGTTCCTCTCATGAGGCTTCCAAGAAAGATCAAATGACTTCATTAACAGCCACAACTCCTCTAGGATCACTTGTTGGCATCTGAAGGATGTTGCCGCCCAACAGAATATCATTTGGCCATGATGTAGTTTGGGGGCATTTCCAGATGATTTAAATACCCACTAAATCCTCTTAACAGAGTGTTGGCACTGAATGTGACCAAGTGCCAAAAGCACAATTTCCTGTGATCTTGCTGGAGAAGCAAATACTGAAGGCCCCAGCTGCATTCCTACTTGGAATATATATGATGTCCATGTGTACATCTATGAGTTTCAGGAAAACGCAAGAGGAATAAGAATAATCTTTATGGTGCAATATTCACACATTAGAAAGTGGAGAAAAAGAATCTTTGCTGATGTTGCTTTAAAATGTTTGCCTAAAGTTAACACTCTTCTGCGTGAAAGAAATGTCAGGCAAGAATCAAGATATTTCAAGTGTTACAGATGCATGTTAACACATGAGTAGGAAGCTGTGTAGTTCCACCTCCAATACTACACAAATAATTTGGCTCTTCTTCCCCAGGAATCCATGCACTAAGCACCAGCAAATGTAAAGAGAAGGCCTTCCTATCAGGAATGTTGTATTTAACCTCTTATGTTTCAAGAGTTTTTAATTGTATTTGGTTGCATACAAAAGGCACCAGGTTTGGAACAAAGTATTTATGTTACTGTTCACCAGTATTGCCTTGATGATATATTAGTAGATATGATATTCATTCACTCCATATCTGCAGTTGGAGGAACAATTGTTTTTCCCTTAATGAGATTTTAATAATATAGGTATAGGGACTGGCTCTCAACCACAGAAAAACTTGTTCAGGAAAATCTCAGTGAATTGGTAAGTACTCTATATTTCCCAAAAAACAAAATAGCTGTTTTCATACCATATTTTAGTATTATGGGAATGAATCCAGGGATACCACATTCTCCTGTAGGATGTCAAACATCTGTTTAGGTACAACCTGTGATTTTCTTTAACATCTGAAAATCAAATAATAGTTTGTGCCTGCCTGGAGATCACTGCAGTTATTTGGCTGTTCTGATATTAATGGCAACTATGTCTTGCTGATATTCAGATGTTCTGAATCGTGATATACAGGGAAGGAGAGAGGATGGGGAGAGACAAGTGAGCCTAGCCATGATCAGTGCTGGAACCTCTACTTCCAAAACATGATTTAGTATTATTTATAAACAGAATAAGTCTCCTGATAATCCGATATCTCTTCATTTTCAAGCAAGAAAAACCAACAGACAGTTTGTGGATTTCAGTTTCTGGAAGTAAGAGGTGAACATCTGAGGTATCCATTAGAAATGATAACATTTCTCAATGCTGAGTTTGGAACTGGAGTAAAGGAATGGAAGAAAATCTGTACTATTGAGTTGGAATATTAATTCACTTCAGGATAAAGAATATAGTAGTAATAATAAAGTACAATCTTTCTTTTATTTCATTTCTGACTTAATGGGATTATTCTGACTTTGTCAGAAAATAACATTGCTTCAGGCAACTTCAGGAGCAATGACCCAAAACAACTGTTAAGTAAGGTTAGCTGAGTTGACTTTACTTAACAGTTATTCTAAGGTAACAATTCCTGAAGTTGCCTAAAGCATGTCTGTCTGTCTGTCTCTCTCTCTTTTTTTCTCTGACAAAATAAACAACAAAGTGAAGGCATTCAAAGAAGAATCAACATTCTCTATCAAGATTTGGGGCTGTTGCTTTAGTGTTCTCTCGGTTGGAAGTAAGTGTAAAGAATAAGATAGCGTGGTATTTCTTTTGGTTGCTAAGAGTTTCATTCATTCAGTAAATCTGATCCTATTGCAGCCCTTCTTTAAATCAAATCTAAAATCCCACTTCCACAACCGAGGCACACTCCAGAATCCAAATGAACCCATATTTTCAGAACCCAGTGTAAATACTAAAAGGTGTAAGTTGATGAAACACTAAAACTACATTTCAAACCTGGAAAAACTGAATGGTAATATTTGATATCAAAAGAGAACATCAACACCTATATAAATGATCATTTCATCATATACTAGTTGCCTGATGTTCTCTCCCTTACTCGATCATTGAGGGATGTCTTGTTGTTTCAGCGGATTCTTTCCATTTGGTAGCAAAAAGGCAGACCTTACACTTCAACAGAGAAGCATTTACAGTTTTTTAATCATTGCATTCAAATTTTGTGCTATGGGCAAGTGATCCATGTTTATGAGCAATAATGGAGTAAAGAATAAGTTTACACTGATTTTTAAAAAAAAATCAAAAACTTACCATCCACACTGAGAAACACCTCTAAGTGTGTGTGTGTTTATATGTATGTGTATATATACATGATTATTTTTCTCCATTTTTCTCTAGTCATTTAAATCTGAAAGACAAGCCACCATATAAAGCAGGTTTCATGAAACCTTGGTGTCAACTTTTTGCACCGTGTATACTGTTCATAGGAACACTCCATTCTTTAGATGACTTCACTCGCAATTAATTGTTTCAACAAAAGGAAAAACTGCTCCAACTGCAATTTAAAAATCACAGCTCAGAGAAGTGCCTCCCACCCTCTCTTTTGCTTTCTGATCTTTCTTTCCTATCTCTGTGTAACAGGCTCTTTGCTAGCTTCAGCCTTTTAAATATGGCTTCAATGCAGCTATTGCTGGAGAGAGGAAGCACCATGTTTACATCTGGAAAACATGAGGCAGACCCCTGCACACAAAATCCTCTTCACCCCCCACCCTGCCCGGCCTGCAGTGCTACTTGCTGACTGGATCACCATAGCAACCGGATTGGTGATCATCACTCTGGCATTCTACTTACCGTAAAGGTGTTCTCCTTATTCTGTTTTCGAGTAGGTGATGGAGACCCAGGACTCTGAGGAGAGAGGCAAGAAGCATCATCAAAACTGCATTCCACATCCGACATGATATGTTTTTTGAGAAATTGTGTATACAAGGATATGTGTATGTAGGTGGTGTTTAAAGCAGAATGCAAGCCAATTTGGAGCAGAATCCCCTTCTGCTTGATTCCTGGGTTAGCCTTTTCCCATGTCTGGAAGTGTCACAGCCTGGCAGCTATGCTGTTGCATGGGAGAGTCCTGTACTGTGATCCTGAAGCAACACACAAGCTCTGAACAGCCAGATAATTCATTCGAAACATGATGATCCCTCCCCTTCCAATCAGTGTTTTGCTTTGGAATTAACCCTTCAACTGCATGCCGGCTCTGGATCTGGACTCTTTCAGCACTAGGTCTAAAGAGTTATCAGAAACTCCACATGTACAAACTACAGCTGATGTATATAAACAGTTTTTTGACTGTAGGTTCAGAATACAACCAGACATATTTCATTCCCCCTGCCTATCCCCTTCCTGTCGGTTTTAAAAGCTCAGTCACAAAAGATAAAGACATAGGTACAGGTAGTCCCCAGTTTAAGAACAAGTCCTGTTCCCAAGGTCTATCCTTAAGTTGAATCTGTATGTAACCTGGAACAGTATTATTGTATAATACTGTATAAGTGGTATTGTGTAAAGAACTCAAACCATTGTGTACTTAACTCGAATTATTGTGTATTTAATTCAAATTTTGCTACAATAGGCTCCATTCTTAACTGTGGGTCATCCTTAAAATGGGTGTTCTTAACCCAAGGACTACCTGTACTGAGTAGGGATAGGGAATTCAGATCTCATTTTAACACAAGCTTGCCTAATTTGCATTTTCCAGATGTGAAATCTGTACTGTTCTGAATGTCATGATACAGCTCTCCAAAGAGTGCCTAGGATGGTCTTTACATTAGGGGAATGATTGCACAGAAATGTATATATTGGTACAAATAAAACAAAAAATGCACCACTTTTTTAAAAAAAAACAGCTGCTTTCAAAATAAACAAACATAGCTAGCTAGCATTAGGAAAAATCTGGACTTTCAAAATGCAAACTGTTGTAGAAACAGATCAAAATGAACAATTCCAAGAACATTAAACACTGAACAAAAGTGTTCATCCAGCTATAGTTGTCTGCAATGAGGTTAACACCACAGTGCAGCCGTCCCTTATGTTTCCTCTACTTGTATTTGCGAAAGACTAAAAGCTTTACAAACCATCACCTGCATAAAACTGACAGACATGAAATGAGCCAAACAAAAGCCCAGGGTGCAGTACTCTATCAAGGAGACAAGAGTTACACGTTTTAAGCTGGCATTTGCTCTGCTGTTCCATCTCAAATTCTGTGCAACAGTTAACAGCATGATGGAACAAGTCCTGCTGCATTCTTAATTGTAACCATTATTCATGAAAGGTTCGTTCATTGTCTATATCTCTTACAGAATAAAGAAATAAATGTACTTTGTATTGCCCAGCTTTACCCAGAGCAACAAAAAAGTACTTAAACAATAGAGCTCAACAGTCCTGTTTTGAACTGCACATGCTAAAATGATCTCTGGCAGATAATAGTTACAAAACTCCAGACAAAAAAGAAGTACAACCAATTCTTTAGGTAGCATGTTCCTCAGGTTAGAACATCTCTCCAATCCATCTTTATCTGCACCATGGTATAATCTGGAATAGAGCATCGTGCTCTTCCCCTTCTCTGACTTCTGAAACAGATGTTATTCTTTCTTTCTTTTTCTTTATAATAATGTTATTAAAGATTACATGTAAAGATAAAACTGATACAAACTATAAAAATAAAAAAATAAAAAGTGCAAAGAAAAAAGGGGAGAAAAAGTAACTTCCCCCTTTGTCCCAGCAAGTATAAATAACTTTAACAACTTATCAACATCTCTTTACAATACAATGAACAGTCTCTTCAATCTCCCAAAGCTCACCTCATTCTCTATAAACAAATCTTTAAAGCATCCTCCTCCTTCCTAAACATCCATTAAGGGTTACTAGAAATAACAACATATCTATTTTAAACTTGAACTAATAAACTCACTTGAATTCCTTCCTTTTACATTTGTATCTCATTTTCTATTTTTAAAACATATCCCCCAAACCCCATCATTCAAATCCAATCTGTAGAAATCCAACAGAAGTTACCAGAGATGACAACATAACTGTATTAACATTGATCAGATAAACTTAAAATGCAACAAATAATCTCTTCCCCATATAACTCTTATGTATAAGCAAAACCTTGAAGCATCATCATCCAGTCCTGATCATAAGAATCCATTAAAAATTACCAGAGATAACAATCCTTCTATTTCAACCTTGGTCAAATAAACCAGCTTTATATTCCTTCTCCTTGCTCCCAACAAACTTGGCTTTAGTCCCTTCAAATAATGCCCTTAGTGTTTTTTTTTAATTTTCTCTTTGTCTCTTCTCACAAAGTCACTGACAACATTAACAAGCCAAGAATATTCTATTCACTCCATTCTTTCCAGGTGACTGACTGGGTTGTGTCTTGCATTTCAAGGTCTGTATAAGAAAAATCACTTCAATCTTACATGAAACTGCTCTGATGACTACTTGGCCATTTCCCATCACCTACTGCTAATGTGAATATGAAATCTATATACAGAATAATGTGCTTAGAAATAATCTAATTTTGGGACATTCAGATACAGTGGGGCAAAAAAGTATTTAGTCAGCCACCAATTGTGCAAGTTCTCCCACTTAAAAAGATGAGAGAGGCCTGTAATTTTCATCATAGGTATACCTCAACTATGAGAGACAAAATGGGGGAAAAAATCCAGAAAATCACATTGTCTGATTTTTAAAGAATTTATTTGCCCACAGGGTGAAATCTTGCATGGAGCCCCAGATTGAGGGAGATTATCAGTGGTCTTGTATGTCTTCCATTTTCTAATTATTGCTCCCACAGTTGCAGAAATGCATTTATTTCAGGTGATTACTAGATACAAAGTTTTGGAGAATGCACTCAAATTCAGAGGGGGCTTCCACAGGGTGAAATCTTGCATGGAGCCCCAGATTGAGGGAGATTATCAGTGGTCTTGTATGTCTTCCATTTTCTAATTATTGCTCCCACAGTTGCAGAAATGCATTTATTTCAGGTGATTACTAGATACAAAGTTTTGGAGAATGCACTCAAATTCAGAGGGGGCTTCCACAGGGTGAAATCTTGCATGGAGCCCCAGATTGAGGGAGATTATCAGTGGTCTTGTATGTCTTCCATTTTCTAATTATTGCTCCCACAGTTGCAGAAATGCATTTATTTCAGGTGATTACTAGATACAAAGTTTTGGAGAATGCACTCAAATTCAGAGGGGGCTTCCACAGGGTGAAATCTTGCATGGAGCCCCAGATTGAGGGAGATTATCAGTGGTCTTGTATGTCTTCCATTTTCTAATTATTGCTCCCACAGTTGCAGAAATGCATTTATTTCAGGTGATTACTAGATACAAAGTTTTGGAGAATGCACTCAAATTCAGAGGGGGCTTCTCAGTAAATAAAATAAAAAAAAAAAGGCCATTAATTTGAATTCTTACACCAAGACAAGATCCACTATCCACAAAACCAATCACTATCCTGAGTGCTGCAAAACAACAACAATAACAATGAAGACCAAGGTAGACGCATGCAAGAAATATCTACACAGTAAGGTTGAGTCATCTCCCAAAGTGTTCAAAGAGGTGAGATGTGCCAGAGACATAAAGGGAGATGTGGGATATACTAACTATTCAATCTGCCTTCTCAGTTAGAAAGAGTGAGTCTTCAAGGAAAATAGAAAAGGATCCAGAATTTGTTCTCTTGTTGGACCTATTTCAATCATGCATTTATTTCAGAAATGCATTTATTTCAGGTGATTACTAGATACAAAGTTTTGGAGAATGCACTCAAATTCAGAGGGGGCTTTCTCCTCTAGTATCTTAACCTTGTGATTTTCTACGTATGTGAATGTGTCAAATGAACTATTTAGTTCAGCATTCTGTTTCCAAAGTGGCAATCAAATACCTATGGGAAGTCCACAGGTAGGGTGTGAGACATCTTCTCACTTGCATTTCCCAACAGTTTGCACTGAGAGATGTATTGCCTCTAATATTATACTGTAGGTAATATACAATAACCAACATGACTGATAGGTATTGAAAGCTTTATCTTTTTTGATTTGTTCATCCACCTCTTAAAGCTATTCCAGCTGGAAGTCCAAATCACATCATGTAGTAATGAATTCCATATTTAATGTGCTATATGAAGTACATCCCTTTATTTATCCTGAATGTAACCTTGTTGGATGAAACAGTTCTAGAATTAAAAACTTTTCCTCTCCATTTTCTTTATACCACATGTAATTGTTTATCACATCCTCCATTTGTCACTTCTTTTTCCTATGCTACAGAAGCCACAGATGTTGGAAACTTTGAACATAAGAAGTAGCTTGATAATTCTGGTTGGCCATTGTGGTTGTAAGACCACTGACCTCAGTAAAGTTATCCAGTAGTAAGGGGGAGGGGAGTTTGTTTGTCACCTCAGGAAGGTAATGTGAAAGGAAGAGTGTGTGAAAGACTTGCTATGGACAATAAGAGAGGTTCACAATATGAGAGGCTAAACATCAACAGAACCTCCCACAATAGCTGCTCCAAGGGGCATAGGAAGAAAGAGAAGCATTTAATTCTTGTTCCAGAAACAGAATCTTCTTTGTTCTAGAACTATCCTGTTACAATTCTTAACATGCTTCATGTTGCAAAGGCAAAATTAATCTATTTTACAGTGAAACTGCAAACATTAAAAATACCGAATAATGTTAAGAATGAAAACACTGCCAAGTATTGGAAGTCTAAATTCTCAGCTCTGAGTGGGGCTTCTTTTTGGCAGCAGTGCTAAAAAGAGATAAAAGATTGAGAGGAGAAGAGCCTTAGGGCCCACGCAGTGTACAAGGCCAGCAGAGCTGTTTTGACCAAGTTCTTCATGTTCTAAGAGATATGACTTGCTGACTCAATCAATGCTTACAGTAGCAACTTTTTCTGAACCACCATGATATAACAAGTAATTGTGCCGGCAGAATTTGTTATTCTGCAATACATTCAAGGGGGATCACAAATAAAGTGGTGGTGGTGGTGGTAGCGGTGATGATGATGATGAACCTTTCAATAACTTACAGCAGTCTTCCTAAATCTGGTCTTTCTACATATACAGACAGAAGCTACATTTTGCAGATATCCAAGGAATTTAGCAATAGCAACAAGAGAGCTAAGTTTTTACAGGGGAAGTTTAGGTTCAAATTGCTATTCAATTGTGTAGCTAGTTTGATTACCCTGAGCAAGTAATGTTAATTTGCCTCGCTTCCTGAACAGGGCTGGTATGTAAATATTAAATCTGTAAAGGAAGACCAGGATAAAATGTAAGTAAATACTATGAGCTGAAACATGTTATGCTGGAGGTGGTAGCCTATACAGGTGTGTTGTTTGTACTGTTTGATCTGTGATTAGTGTATCATACATGCAATTAAACTTTGGGTAGATGTAGAACTGTATACATTCTCTCTGACAACATTTGTCTGAAATACAAATTTCCTTTCTGACATTTGTTTGAAATTCTGTTAATAAACAGAAAAGGGAAGAAATGTTTAAAATGCATATCTTAAATCAATGTAGCTTTCGTATTGAATGCATATACAGAGAAAATACAAAAATCTATTCAAGTATCACTTGTGAAATTGGCCTGCAGGTCCTTCCCACAAGCATTTGGGAAGAAGCTGTATCATATCAGTGGCCATATAAAAAGATAACAGAAGGATTTGATAGGTTATAGGGAGAGGCTCATAATTACCTTCTATAATTTATAACACACTGCTGTAATCTATGATATAACATCTCCTTCATTATCACAATGTGGGTATTATAAATAAGAAGCTGAGGTTGAAACAGTAAACTGCCAAAGTTACTTTGCAATATCATGGTTTGAAATGGCCAAATGTATTTTAATACAGACAGACGCAGAATGGAGATTTAAATTTTGGATTCAATGCTGTATTCTAGAGCACTGGTTCAGCTATATTTAGTCATCATGTCTCACCTTTTAAGACATGCAGAACATTTAAAACAACTTCCTCATCACTTTGGAGAGAGATATTGAATAGGGTGACAGAAGATTCCTAAGGCTTGTACTTAATATTTCTATTAATGACTTGGATGAAAAGGTGGAGTGGATGCTTATGAAATTTGCAGATGATACAAAACTGGGGAAAGGGGAGATAGCCAGTATCCTAGAAGACAGAAATAAAATCTTGATGTAGTGGACAAATGTGCTGAAAAGAAAAGAATGAAATTTAACAGAGACTTCTGCAAACTTACACACTTAGGAAACAGAAATTAAATGCATAGATACAGTTCAATTTATATCTGGCTTTGTAATAGTACTTATAAAATATTTTGAATTAGTTGTTGATTACAAATTGAATATGAATCAGCAGTGTGATGTGGCTGATGTACTGCAATTTTAGGTTGCATCATGGAAAGTACTATTTTCACTTTATTCTGTATTGGTCCGACCCCGGCTCAGGTATTATGTTCAAAGCGCTGCACTTTAGGAATTCAGACTAAGTAGTACAGTGTCAGGAAAGGGCAACCAGGGATATCAGGGGACTAGAAACAATAACTTTAATTGACAAATTGGGTATATTTAGCCTTGAGTAGATTAGAGGCAGGGAGAAATATAATAGCATTCTCCAAATACCTGAAAGATGTCACATAGCAGAAGGTTAAGACCTGTTTTCTATTGTCTCAGAGTGAAAGACACAGTGTAATGGATTTAAATTTGAATTAAAATGTGGAATGAATGTTAGGAAAAAATGGCTAATCATAAAGAGCAAATTTGACAGCGGAAACAATTAGCCAGAATGATGGTGTCCTTTCCTTTACTGGATGGGTTCAAGCGTAGGCTAAGCAGCTGTCTGTCAGAGATGCTTTGATCTGGATTCCTGCAATGAGCAGGGGACTGAACTGAGTGGCCTAAATGCCCCTTCCCACTCTGTGATTTTATGAAATCTACTGGAGTCGTTAATGAATAGTACTTACAAACATGGCTGGAAGCTACAGGGAACACTGGGTTGTAATTTAGAGATGCCATTTGCAAAGATCAGTTGAGGATGATCCTGATATTTAGAATGTAAGAAAGTGAAAATTTCTCAAAAGGCTCCTAGTGCAATGACATGCTGGATTGCTGTCAAGGACTGTCATTATCACCACACTATTATACTGAGCAAAACAATTATACAAAGAAATCTACAACATTTATGACCTAAGGATCTAAACCACGTATTTCTGCAAGAAAACTTCAAGCCATCTTTCAACATGTTCTAAAATAGCAATAAAGGAGGCTCATGAAGAATTTCTGTCACACACACCCTTCTCCAAGTTCACACATATCATAAAAAATGTGAGAAGCCTAGCCTTGACTGAAGATAACAAAAACCATCTATGAGGTAAGGGCCTCACAAAGCAGAGAGTAAGCAGATGCTTACTTGCAATTAATTGCAGTTAAAACTTGGACAGAAAGAAAGCACACTGCGAAACTAGCCTGAAAAATTTCATGCTACCAAATGTCCACATATAGTTAAAGCTGAACAAGATCAACAGGAGTTTTGGGAGATAAAAACAGCAGGGAGGGGGGAGAGGGAGGGAGAGGGAGAGAGAGCGGGAGAGAGAGAGAGACTGACTGACTGACTGACTGACTATTCAGGACTATAATGGCTTTGAGGTTCACAGTACAAACTTGGGCTTTGCTATGGAGTGATAGTGATTCAATTTTTAAATAAAACAAGTAGCTTCCAAGCTTCCTCATGCTGGAAGTATCCACCAACCCTGTTTCTAAATAAAGCTTAACAGTAGGGAGGAAAACTGAAGCACATTATCTGAGTTTACCTGGGGGTCACTGCTGATTTTGCGGAGACTCATGTGGCCTGGTTCTAGTTGGGATGCCAACGTGCCTGGTATGTGATATCCGTTTACTGTAAGGAAAAGACATAAAGTTCAGACCAAAGATGCAGAAAAGGAGGTGGTGGCTTTTGAGTCCCTCTATTAAAATCAAGTATTTTACCTGACCTTCCTAAATGATGATTAACATATTATTTGATACTCTCCAGCACCAATTCAGTATCTCTGTATGAAATACAGTATTCCACAGATACTGTACACTTCTTTGTTAAATGCAGAAATATTTATTTTACTTTGTTTATTCAATTTAGCCCACTTTTTTACTCTGTGCATGCTTTAGGGGGCTAACAAATGTTTTAAAAAATAAAACAGATTAAAATTACCATTAAAATAGGCAGTAAATAATTCAGCAATTAAAAACCTAGTAAAAAAGAAATGTTTTTATACATTTTCTAAATGCGAAGAGAATGGGGACTAATCCCAAACCCAAAGGAGAAAACTGCACAGCCTCAGGAGAAATAAAGGTGTTGGGAGAAGGGGTATCTTCAAAAGGATTTCTCCTGTATAATCTGGGAGTTTGGGATTTTTCAAACTGAGTTCCATGGAAGAGTTCTATGAGGACTTGAATGGGTTCTGTGGGACTAGAGGGGGGAAAAAAACCAACTTTCTGCATGGAACAACAGAACAAAAACTCGCTACCAGGGACTAAATCTCTTGCAGAGAGGGGTTTTTCCCTTAATCTCTTGAGGAAAGTGTTTTTTTCCCTTGTCAGTCACTTAGAAAAATTGCTATGAAAGTCCCTGAAGAACAGCATTGAGATGGGAGCAGATGGCTGAAAACTCTCTGCAAGGGACTAAGGGCAAAAATTTGAATGCACTCAGCCATCCACTCTCACCACGACACTGCTCTTCAGGGATACCCATAGCAACTTTTTAAGGTATAGCGGAAAGGGTGGGACTTGTCAGCTGACATTGAAAAACCCCACCCTTCTTGATCAGGGGTTCTGGGATTTTTTTAAAAAAACAAACAAGTTCCATGGCCTGAAGAAGTTTGCAGATCTTAGATATCATATGAATCTTGCAGCTTGCACAATTACTAGTGCACCCATTGGAACTTTTAGACAACATTCAAGGCCTATTGCATCTTTGAAGTTGGATGATAAACAGTAATAAGGACATACTGATTATGCCAGACTTCAAAATTCTGGATGATATCCCCTAGCAGTTTAATGAGGACAATGAGTGGGGGCCAAGATGGGGGCCTGTGAGACACCATTATGTCAATGGTCCAGGTGTTGAAAGTAGTCCCTCAGCATCACCAACAAGACATGGCTGAAACATTTTCAGATTTTGAAACAGGCAGCAATACTAGTTGTTAAAATGCACTTGATGGAGCACCATTATTGTGGATAAATCCTCTACTGCCTGGAAAATCCTATGGAAAAGTTAGGCAATGAAATGATTTTATAATCTCACAATCTCTCAAGTAATACTTTCAATATATATGTATGCATGTGTTACTGTTTTTCACCGATTCTAGTCTATCAGGCTTCCATTTGGGGATCTCTGGGCTGGCATTATTTTTAACACTGCTTTTTAGGATAATTTCATAAGCGATATTATAGAGTGATCTCAATTACTTACATAGCAGGACTGAATATTAGAAAATAAAAATTAGGTCTGGAAGCATTAGTAGAAAGGGATTCATTATGAATCCCAGTTCATTCCTCATTATGGTTATGAAATTTCCTTCACTGTTTATTGTTTTTGTATGCAATTTAAAGAGCAGAGAAAACGGGCAGGGAAAGTAAGATGAGCTCCAAATGTAACTTCAGCTATTATTATCTATTACTTGACTTGTGTCACTACTAAAAACTCAAGGATCTCAAAGGAGCCAGCACTAGAACTTAAAGCACCTTGATGACAGCATTCAGGTATATATAAAGAGGGGAAAAAATGAAACCAAGGATGAAGGCAATGATAAGGATATTTCAATGACAGCAAGGATAAAGGTAGTCAAAGCAATGCTTCTTTCCAGTAGTAATGTACTGCTGTGAAAGCTGGACATTGAGTAACAGGGAGACAATGAATTATGGATCTGGAGATAGTTACTAAGACTGTGAATCAATCTTGGAAGAAGTAAAGATTGACTGCTCCTTTGAGACAATGAACAGCAAACACATACTTTGGTTCAGAAGAGTGGATAATGGAGTAGAAAAAACAACACTCAGCAAGGAGTAGAAGGATGAGAAGGCAACATATAAGGTGGATTATTAGGATCAGGGATATCACTGGAAGGTCCTTGCAAGATTGTAGGTCCAGGTCAGGTCAAGGTGGTAGGCACAGTCCATGTAGTCACGGAAATTTGTACCTGACTTGATGGCACCTAATTATTGTTCATGAGCCAGATCTCTGCTGAGGAAATTCCATGCATTATCTTCCTTGCACCATTTTCCTTCTAAGAATAGGAAATTATCAGAGGGATTTTCCCATTTGGTGCAGAAAGTAAGAGCCTTTATGTTCCCCCCCGCCCAACTTGGGGAAAGCAACTGCACATGCCTGTGGGTGATCTGTCCCCTACCTGTAGGCAAGGAGTTCTTCTGGGTCACTAAATTCTTTGGAGTTCCTGGGACACTGCTTGGCCGCTCCCAAGTAGTCTCTGTTAAAAATAATAACAAAGTCAGTGCAGTCACAATCACTAATAGGTATATGTAAGAACTTTGTTTTCCATCCCACTCCTACACATCCAATCACACATAATGGATCTTATAAATGCCAATCATTATCAGATAAAAGGGTTAATTCATGAAATGTGCTCTTTCATATAGTGTTCAATGCCAATTCTTTCAAAGAAAATGGCATTCATTGAGATCCCCTTAGGCATTCTTCCCACTTATTGGAGAAAGTTGTTCTACAGGCTCAACAGCCCACTGTGATTGCAGTCAGGTATGTGTCAAATTGAAACACCCTACATGTCTAGACTGTGGGAGTCAGGAAAGCTGCAGGAACACACCTGAAATGGCTACAAACCCACAGATTGGAATTGTTTAGATGTGTCTTTATAATAGCCAACCACTTCCATTTTCTACAAGGCTTGTTATGTCAGAATTCACTCGAACTGAGCTACCAAACTGTTCTGCAATGTGAAAAGGGAAGAGCATGGGCAGAGTATACTTCTTGTACTACTGAAAAATCATAATCATGATGTCAACAAACATTTTCTGTTAGAAAATAAGAGCTGTCCATGCCAAGCTACTTAATAGCAATCATCTCCCTTTCCACTGACGTGCACTTTTTTCCTCCTTCAAATCAACAAGTATTTTTGCTGGGTGCACTCTGAGCAAAAATGCCTCTTTATTTAGCTACTGGAACATGAAAACATTTTCTATTTCATCATGCATTTCATGACATCTGGGCTGGATGAGGAAAGAAACAAGTGTTAAGTAAGGAATCACTGCAGCTGCTTTCAAATGATAATTGCAGACAGCATCTTTGACTGTAGATGGTGCTATCACTTTGAATTAGCCACAGACTGCAGCTCCACCTTCCAGGTTATTTCCACAGTTGCTGCAAGTACAGATGATTTAAAGCATCTACAGTTTTTGCACTGAGAAGCTATGTGCTTGTTTTATAAGAATCAAACATGTATATTCAGAGTGGGACAACTCTAAAACCTACATCTGAAAATGCTGCAAAAAAATGTAATGCAGGGAGGAAGCTCGAAAAAGCTTGGAAGAAAAAGACATTCATAGGCCAACACCCACAATCATCAGTTTCAGACTACTGAAAAATGGAGTTATGGATCACCAAGATTTGGTGGATGCGTGCCAGTGACAGCATCCAAAACTATAAATCAAATACTTGCAACAGCTCATTACTATACCAAGCCAGCAGAATACTATGCTGACTTGTCTTTCTCCTACTATTTTCATTTTTGTACATTTCCAGTTATTCTGTTTTCTCCATATTCCTCTTTCTTTGGACACTAACAGATTTGGGCCAGTTACTGATTTGCGAAGCCTACACAACTCGGCTTAGTTCATGCATTGCTGTCTGTCTTGTAGCACCATAATAATATGTTTTTTGTGTGTCCCATGTCAGATTCAACTGCACGGCAGGGCCAACACCGCTATTCAGTTTCACTGGCCCTAGTCAGTTTCAATGTCTCAGGTGCAGGCAGCAGAAAAGCGGAAGTAGGGCAGGTGGCAGCAATTGACTCAGGGCAGGAATGGATACTTTGTAACAAAACCAGCTCCCCTCAAACACCCCAGGCACTGCCAACCACATCAGCTTAGAAGCACAGCAATTCAGTAGCAATCTACAAACAAATCTACAAAGGAGCCCCGGCTTAGTCCACAGAAGAAAAGCCCAACAAATGCAACGATCACACAAACAAAGGGCAGCAATCAGGGAGACAAAGAAACCCAGCTGAATCTGCCATTAAGGCGAGGGGAAGAACACCACTGGTGAACTGAGTAACCCAGGGAACCGGGGTAAAGGGCGGGAACGAGGGGTAACTCCTGATCAAAGGGGGGGGGACCCTATAAAACCGCTGTATGTAACCGCACCAAGCCACTCCTGGCTTTGTCTATGACTGCTATCCATTACACCTAAGTAAACTGCTTTCGTACGAGCCTGTGTCTCACGGAGTCTTTATTCAGCGCTGAATGCAGCGATCATTACATAAAGCCAGGATTGCCCTTGAGCCCTACCTGGAGTAAATCTATCAAGGAGTGCTCACAATTCGTCCATTCGCTGATGACCTACTGGACCTGAGCAACTCGCTGAGCAATGGCAAGCGATAGCAAGGGTGCGAGTTCACGGTGTGGCAAGGGACACGGACCCAAGACCCCGACAGCGGGGATATGGTCCAGAGGGAGAGAAGGAAGGAGGAACCCACACCCACCTCTCGAGATGTGAGATGGTCCGTCAGCGTGGGAATGGGGCCTGGAGACCCATCAGGATGCAGAGTCACGGCACGGTGGGGTTCGGGGGCCCGGAGCAGAGAACTGGAAGAGGAGATGTCCCAGATGTCCCAGACATCCGATGGCAGCTAATGGCCATGCAGGGCATGCTACAGGCATTGCTCTGCGTACCTAGGGCCCCGGCTGGGGCAGCCCCAGGGGTGGGTGCGGAAGCAGGGGCTGGCACAGGGCCCATGTCCAGGTTGGCGGCAGCAGCTAGCCCCGCGGGAGGTGCAGAGAAGGACTGACAGGCAGCAGAGGCACTCCGGTTCAGAAACCTGAAGAGCAGGTTCTTGGGGGATCCCGAGCAACTGCCCTGCTTCCTCATGCAGGTGAGGAATTTCATGGACCAGAGTGGGCACCTCTTCAGCAACGACAGGGAGTGGGTTGCCTATGTGGCCGACCTGTTGGAGGCACCTGAGTAAACTGCTTTCATACGAGCCTGTGTCTCACGGAGTCTTTATTCAGCGCTGAGTGCAGCAATCATTACATCCCATTGGTTTTATATAATAGTAAACTATAAACACTCAAAATGTTTTTCGGCAAGATTGTACTATGTTCATGTGGAAAGTGGACAAGTATTACTCAGTGATTGCATGATTTTGTTCTATTGCATTAATAACAAAGTTCCCCTGTACAACATTTTGCAACTGCAGAGCATGATTTCCAATCTAGTTAATATTTCAGATACTTACTATGTGGAATTCCCCCCCAAATATCCTGTCACATATCATCAGCACCATCTCCTAGCCCATGCTGCACATACCTGGACAAGAGGGCATTAAAAACACAAGAAAGACTACCTCATAAGCTATTCAAATACCCTTTTCTAAGCCCACTGTTATCTTTAAAAAGGTTGTTTAAAAGTCCCCCTTATGCAGAGCTTAATACACATTCTACTTTTTCAGAACAATTTATTTTTATTGGAAAAGCTAAGATTTCATGAAGTGATTCCACAACCCTGCTTGCTAAGACCTTTTAGAGACAGCAGAACATCAATATTAATCATGTCATATGCATATATACTGTACAGTGGCACTGCCACTTACCTGTTGTCCTTTATGTTAAGGGATAAACAAAAGATGTGATACCACCTGCAGTACAATTAAATCAGAGCTACCGCAAACACAGCACTCAAGAAGAGCTCTATATGGAAATGCCTTACGTGATTCTTCACATGGTCCTCATGTTTGGAGTTTCTTTTCTTTTCAAATTATGTTTGTGGTTGATGGTTCATCAATCACTCATCATGAATCACTATATTTTTAGTACACTGCTCACTATTAGGAAGCAGGCTTCTGGTTCACATGAAAAAATCCACACTTTTCATTTGTTTTCAATGATTCAGATGATGAATCCACCCCCAGCTAAATGCAATCCATGTATCAAGATGCACCATGCATTCATACCGCTGACGGGTAAATGGATGCAAAAGTTGCATGTGTTCCTGAATAAACCTGTTGCCCTTCCAAAATACTAAAGCGGCCCGGCTGGGAATTCTATGAAGTGTAATACAATACATCTGGAGGTTGCCAGGTAGTGAAAGATTATACTAAAAGTATTTTGCTTGACTGCAGCTGTTTCCCTTATAATGCTGAAACAATGAAGCATTTGCTTTAGTTCTAACATATATAACAATAATACAGATATAGGAAATCATATTCCAACTAATTAATCTACAGTTATCTGCATTATTTCTAGGGCTGCACAAAGCTTTCAAAAGAGGTGCTTTGCAATGGGAAGGAGCACTTACAAAACACCTTTTCTCCAATCATTAAAGCAGTTGTATCATTTGCAAGTCTCAGTTGCTTCAGAAACTGCTCTGGTTCTCCCCACATACGTATGCCCAGCCCTAGTTACTTCAGTAGTCACTCAGCAGCCAAACCTCCGTCATTTTAGACAGCCTCCTGGAGTTCCATTAACTGAACACTCATAATTTTTTTTAAAAAGCACTGCCCCCAGTGATGCAAAAATATTCTTGGCCCAAGCATTCAAGTGCAAATGATTAGCCTCTGCAGGTTAAAATATAAAAACACAGCACCGAAGGCAAACAATTAGCAAGTGTAATATTATTAATGCTGTGATTTGCTTAGCATTCCATTTCCTATTTTACTGTCTGAGTTAGCAGCTTTTATTTTAGGCTTGTTTGGAATGTCTGCATAGCATTGGGATGGTAATAGTGAGTCACAATAAGTTATTGCAGTGCAGAATACATGGTGCAGAATACAAGTGTTTGACTTCAGTGTTTAATACTTTCATAAGCATAATGAAAGTTTGTGTGGATACATAATTCGTGATATAAAGATGGAAAGAAAAAAAAACTCAATAAGTAATATTCAAGAAGCCTAAAAAATCAATCATTCTATCTCTGAAATCTATTACCCTAATTTTTTCAGTACCTAGAGTACCAGCTATAGTTGTACAGACCACATTTATCTATTTATGTACTGCATTTATAAAGCTACTCTAATACACGAGCTCGCAAAACAAAATCAAGGAACAAACATGTTAAATGATTGGGGAATTAGTGCAAATTAATTTCTAACATGACACTATGACTCTCTCAGGATTTAATGCTAATTAGAAAGTAATTGTGAATTTCTAAAATGTCATAAACTCTTGAATTTATGTATTATATACTAGAACAGGGAGAATGCAAACCTAATAAAAACAAACTACCTATTACCCTTTAAGC